AGGCGATAATGTCACGGACCAGAAACCTTTTGCCTTGGCCTCAAACCTGAAGACAAAGCTTTAGGAATAGTCTCTTCAGACATCTTGCCATGATACTCCCCAAGTGGAGCAGTGTCAGGATCAGGTTAAAACTGTATCCAAAATGATGCCAGGTAACATGAGCTAAAGGGGAAATCTGAAATTTATGCTCAGATGTCTCTGAAACAGAAATCTGTATCATCTTCTCCTTAGCAGTGCCCTAGGACAAATTTTTATCACTTGATAGTTAAGGCAAGTTTCCGCTGCCTTCCCTTAAAAAGGTGTGATTATACAGGAGGACTTGTAAACTAGTCACAGGTGTATTTTATGTTAAACTGAGATTAACACCCCCCCACACACACAACCAAATCTAATTTTATGAAGTTCCTCTACTTCTGCCTTCTGCAGGTCACTAAACAAGAAGGTAGATTAATCGCTCTACTTCACTTTTTCCTACAATAAAGATCTTCCTTCACTCCACAGAATAATATAATTCTTTTCCTCAACTCAGGAAGTATGCATGTTGGTGCATTTATTCTCTTTTAAATAAATTATTTGGTCCAATTCTAAATCACTCTCTTGAGAAGTCGGTACATTGCAAGAACCCTGACAGTTTCATTAGTTATCACATCAGATAACATCTGGGACCATTTTTTTAAAAAAAGGCATTCCTCAATGCTCCTAAGACAATGACTCCTATAATTAAGACAATGGGCCATATCATGCCATGAGCATTAACTAATATGAGATGCAAGAGAGAATTCTATTTACCAAAATATATAAATATGGCCCTCTCGTGTTTTCTTTAGAACTTTTGACTAAAGTCAGCTTGCGCACATCTGCAGCAAAAGCAAGCTGGCCCAAGCACTATACTTACTTCTTAAGTGTTTGGAAGCCATGCTCTTTGTACTGTAGTTCCTGCTTCATGTGAGCTACCTCTCTCTTAAGTTTATTAACCTATAATAAATAGGACAGCAAAGTGTTATGTTTTCAGACTGATATTTCACTTTAATATTTTAGATATGTCATTCTTCAGACAATCATAAAATGTTTAAGCAGGATGGACATTTGATTGGAATTGCCTAAAAATTAATTTAGTTCAAAGATAATGAACAGCCCTAACTCCTACTTGATAAAGACAGCATTACAATATTGTTCTCCCTGGGGAAACATTAATCAAATGCCAGATGTTGCATGATTTGATGACGTGCTTAAAAGATATGAAATGTTTAACCTCTAAAATAAAAAACTGACAAATAAAGATTAAAAGGGGACAGGGAGGGACATAATGGATATAATTTGTCAATAATTTTAAAAGTTGTTAAATATTGGAATAGCTGTCCAGTTACAATGATATATACCATTCACTTCAAAGATCCTATTAAAAGACTCTGCTGTACAGCTAACAGAGAACTGTGAACACTGTGTACAGCTAACAGTGATAACATGAATTGTGAACACATGGACTCTGTAGTTTACCGTCTTACATTTTCTAGAGGTCCAACCCACTTACATAACTGTTGCTCATACTTCCTCCCAATCTAAAATCTTCAAGAAAGCAATCTAAAATGGACTGAAGACAAAATAGCTACCAGTTTCTGGAAGCAACCAGCAATTTAAAATTGCAACACACAGTCACCATGTAATTAAATATCGTACAATATCTATAGAAAAATGTGTACTATCAGCTTTAAGACAATCTCAAAGTCTGTTTTAAAAAGTGTTCCATAGATGAACTTTTGGACACAGACTTCAGAGGGTTCTGATACTTTATCTTCTAGATTAAAGCTGGCAGCATTAGCTCTCAGCTGCTTCACCATCTCCTTTAATATTTACTGTGAGGTGCAGAAGTTTCTTAAGATTACTAGCAGAAAGCAAAGGTCCTTTTATACTTCTTACCCTGGATTTTGTAGTAGCAATTTCAGCTTTAAGAATCTCCGGGTCATATTTAGAACTAGACGATGAGCCAGAGAGCACTGGAATGAAGAGAGTATGTTAAATTAAGAAACCTACTCCATGGCACAGTGAACTTTACAATACCCCATACAAACCTAAAAAGAAGATTTATCTGAGCACCAGTACAGATTCCCTGAGACACAAACTGGCTTTCGGCTCTCTCCCATACTTCATTCTTTAACCGTCTTCCCATCCCCAAAGTGAAACAAAAGGTCCTCTCTCCCATCACTCCCCACTACTACCTGCATGCCTCCTCCTCTCCACCCCCAACCCAAGGCCCGCACAAGAGCAGATGGCCACATGTTCAAGAGGATGAGAGCATATCAGAGAAGACTAGAGATGCAGGACTTGCTCCAAATTGGGGCAAGTGCCCTGGACCCCACGCTTTGGGGGGTCCTGAGGAGCCAGGCGGAGTGGCTGTGGCAATTCCGCGCTACCAGTGGCTCCACATCAAGCCGCTTGGCACTCCACCCTCCCCCCACCGCCAAATTTGGCACGTCCAGCTGCTTGGCACTCTGCACCCCCTCCTCCCCCCACAGGGCTCCATTCTGTCCAGGGGCAGGGCCCTACACAGACTGAGTTGCCCCAGGCCCTATACCCTACTTGGACGGTCTCTGGCAAGAGGACATCTCAATGAAATGAAAAGCCAATAGGTAGTTTTAAAAATAATTTGAAATTAGCCTGACACCTACTGCCAGAAGATGTAAGTGAGGAAAAGTATTCAGCAGTATTCAGACAGGACTGGCTATTTATATGTGGTTAATGTCATTAAAAATTTGCAACAAAATAAAATAAAAAATAAAACAAAAGTTGACTTTTTCAGAGTATCTGTCAACCTCTAACTGATAAGAATTAGGGAAAATATTTGGCTTCTGCTGGATTTTTTGCTTCATCTCTTGAAGCAGCTGGTCTTGACCACCATCAGAGATGTGATTCTGAAGTGGACCATTGGTATGGTTCTGTCTCACAATCATGTTCTTAAATTGCACAGATAAGTCAGAGAGCAGCTGTAAGTCAGCAGAACTAGGAAAAGAACCTGAAATCAAACTTGGATTTACTCCCATGCCATTTATAAAAACAAATGATCTGCTTGCAGTATACTCTGGATACCATCTTACCTGCTCTCTCTGACCTTTCTGTCTTTAAAGCATTTCCCATTTGAAGCACTCCCTTTGCAAAGTACATCAGTAACTTCACACAAACCCTCCTATATCATGGTCTATTAAATCAATAAACTGGGGAGACACTGGCTTCTGGGATATGCAAGTGATCAGCATAAGGTCTAGCAACATGACAACTAAAGTGGTTTTATTCTGTGGACATGATCTCCAGCCTGATCTGGTGTGCCTGCCAGAGTATAATGGGATGCAAAGTGAACAATATTAAAACTGTCTATCTACCACTTCTCTGCTTTCCTGAAACCCAGGGCTGCTGAGGAATGGTTTGGTTCTGACATCCATGGCAGGCACCAGCAACAGCTTCTAAAGAATCTCCATCTCTACACTCCGGCTGGGCAAAGCTTTACAGCTTCAGTCCCTAATCTGATTTGGAGGAGATTCGGCCCGATTCGGTGGCCAAATCTCCTAATTCAAATCAAATCAGAGGACTCTTTAATCTCTCCGAATTGAATTGGAACCCTCCGAATCAATTCGGAAAGAACCGGAGATTCAGACATAGAGACACCTTTAAATGTTTTTTCTACATACCTTTAGGTAGCAGGGGCTCGGGAGTGCTGTGGTGCATGGAGCATCTCATAGAAGCACGAGGGGCTCCCCAGTGCGCTCAGCAGCAGACTTGGAAGTGGACCAGAAGCACTTCTGGGTCTGCCAGGCAACATGCAAGGTCCCCTCCCCTCCACCCCCGGCTCAGTGATTGGTGCCTCCTGGGTCTGGGGAATCGCTGAGGCAGGGAGGCGCAGGGGATGTGTCCCAGAATGCTCCCCAGCAGACCCAGAAGTGGACCAGAACTACTTCCGGTCCACTTCCAGGTTCACCGCTAAGCACGCGGACAGCCCTCCTGCACTTCTGTGGGACACTCTATGCGCCCCAGCATCGCAGCGTTCACGAGCTGCACCTGCTACTTCAAGGTACAAAGAAAAAACTTGTAAAGCTGTGTCTGCATCCAAATCACTGATTCTTGGAATCAGCATCGAATCTTCAGATTTAGATTCAGTTGAATCGAATCAGGGACACTAATTTGAATCAACAAATCAAATCGCTGTCCCTGATTCAGGCAGAATCTGAATCGAATAGGGCCTGCTTCGCACACCCCATCTGTACACCCTCCTACTAGCCATGTTGAGGGAGGAACAGAATGTTAGCCGAGTCTGTTCCACACCACCCTAACGTGCCCCTATTACCAGGGTGGGCAATTATTTTGACTGGAGGGTCACATAACAAGTTTAGGTGAGCTGTTGAGGGCCACACACACAAAATCTTTCAGAAGATATCATATTAACAAATTATAGATAAAAAAACCCAAATCATATACTACAAATCAAATATAGACAATAACATATTTTATTTATTTCAAAAAAATGTTTTGCCCTGTTTTATGTTTTTTTGCATAGTGTACAAAGGCAGTTGCATAATAGCTCAAAAGTCTTGCTCCTGTATTTTACATGGGGGTGGAGGGAGCGTATGTGGGTGTGCAGGTGTATGGGGAGCTGCCCACATGTTAGGTCCTGGGAGCAGACTGACAATGGGGGACAAGGGGGAGGAAGGAAGAAAAGGAGCAGGGGGGCAGAGGGTGCATGCAGCAAAGCTTCCCTGGATGGTGCCGTGCACGTGTGGTCTTTTCCCCTGCACCCCATCCAGCCTATGGCTTCCTGCATGGCACTCTGTATGGGGCCGCACAGGCAGTCCACCAGACAGCACTGCCTCAGCCTCAGCCCCAGCCAGTGCCCACAGCTTCCAAGTGGGGCTGCTGCCACAGCCACCCAGGTACTGTTAAGTTCTCTATGCCTCTAGTGGCTCCTCTTCCTCCTACCCCATGCAGCAGATAAATGTGGGGAAGCCATGGGGACACGCGCTAGTCACCACATGCCAGCCAGACAAGGCGGAAGCTGTAGCTGGGTGGTTCCTGCCCCAGCACACGGGAGTCCAGCTCCAGTTGTAGCTCCCAGTCATCTTCCACTCACACTGCCCACCTGCTGCAATGAGCAGCCACCTATGGGTTGCTGAGTGGATGGAAGGTAGGTGGGAGCTGGAGCCTCGCGCACTGTGGCAGGAACTGCCCAGCTGCAGCTTCTGCTCTGCTTGGCTGGGTGTGTGCTACCCAGCATACATCCCTATGGCCGCCGCCCTTCTCTATGCTGCCCGGAGCGGTGCAGAAAGAGGAGCAGCCGTTGGAGATGGGAGGAGTCTAGCAATACCCAGGTGACTGCAGCTGCACCAGAAGCAGCCCTGCTGGGCAACTGCACACACATTGGTGGGTGCAGGTGGAAGCATGGGGCGCACTGCCCTGGGTGGGATGGGGCAGGGCGCAGCCCCATGTGGATCACTGCAGAGGCAGCCATAGGCTGGCTCCAATCAGTTGGCCAGCTGGATCTGGCCCACAGGCTGTATTTTACTCACTCCTGCCCTATGGTACATCAAGAGTGGGCAAAAATTACTTCTAAAACTCTGGCCTTTAACTGAAGTCATTACTAGCAGTTGTTCCAATGGGCAGGTATGTCAACTGTTTGCTGACTTGAGTGCATTGTCCTGTATTTAAGCTTATCGGTCAGTTCTATGAAAGTTCCATATCTTCACAGCTTACCTTCCTGCTTCCTCTTCACAGTCTCCTTTTGCACGGCCTATTTTTTCTGCTTCTCTCTGCATACTCCCTGTTGTTTTTGCAGCTGTATTTGTGCTAGGCTTGATTGCAGCAATCCCTGAGCTGCAAGCTAGCTTAGTCTAATAGCAGCAAGGTGCTACTGTATATTTTATGGACCATGTGATCCATAACAAAATTTGACAGAGAGATCTGCTAGACAGCAAAAGAATATTTAGTAGGTTGTCTTGTAAGTTTCCTTGTAAAACTCTTTTCTATTATTACCATACTGTTAGAAAGCACCAGTAACACATACCTGTCTCTTTGGACCTGGGCATCTCAGACCACCTACTTAGGTCATCAGAAGCCCATGATTATGTTGAGAAAGCTGGCAAGATACTACCCATAGTGTTATATGCTTGTCTTATTGGAAGCCATCTGTAAGCAAATTAGTTGTTTTTAGAACTGACATGGGAGCAAAACTACATTTGACAGCAGGTTCTTTTTCTAGTTGTGTTACAACAGCAGCTTTCACTTAGAGCTGATTTATTCATACTCACAGCTTGTCTGAGAACCTAGCTTGTGCTCCCAGACTTCATGAAGTTGCTGATACTCTTGCTGGGCCAATTCAAGTCTTTGCTGTTTCACTTGGTAGATCTCCTTCTGAGCAGCAATTGCCTCTTGGGCCAGGACCAGATAGTCCTTCAGCATATGTTCTTGCTCCCTCCGCCATTGCACACGAGGGTCTTCTATCTGTGTGGTTTCTTTAAGAGAAGACAAAACCTTAATTCAAAGATAGACAGGGATAAGTGGGACCAAAAGAATATGCTTAGTATCACTGCTTAAGTTCTCTGTCCACTTCATCTATGTCAAATTTACAATTTAGAGGATAGGCAATTAGCGATCTGTTGATCAGAAATTGAATTGTTTGGATTAAATTACTATATGAATGGTGACAGTAAAAATGATATGCTTTAGTTTTAGTAACAGATTTTAGTTATATAAACAGTTACCATTGAATAATTTCTACTCTTATTCTTATATATGTTTTAAACTGATGAACAAGTGGAGGACTTTTCTTTGTCAAGTTCCATGGAGAAGGACATGCTGTATTCTAAAATGTGTAGCTTATACAGCAAAACAATTCAATTGCCTCACTGCACAATTTAAAAATAAATACTTCAGGTACACCAATATCAGTTTGGCTACCCCTATAAACAGCACAACAAAATTGCTGTCAGGTTGGAAGGTCTATGCTTGAAAGGAAATAAGACAGAGGGTAGAAAAAAGGACAAATAGGTTCACTAAGATACAAGGAAAGAGAATTAAATGATTTAAAGGAACTTTATCTTGGATACATAAAATTAAGTTACGTAATCAGTACTTAAGATAAATAAATATCTATTTTCCCCGTTAAAAAAGAAAGCATTCTTTTTATTTTAAATCAATGCTTTAGGGCAGTGGTCTGCAAAGTGGGGTGCACAAGACGATCCACTGGGGTGCGGGAAGAAAATATTAGAACGTCTATTTCTATTTATATAAATATACATATATTGGGGGTGCATGCTCAAACATTTTTCACCGATAGGGGTGCACGATCAAAACAGTTTGGAGACTACTGCTTTAGGGGATGGAGGGAAAATGATGTAGATAATAAAGATCATTTTTAAATAATGAAGCTGACACTATAATTAACAATTGAATTAGTTTGACCTCCATTATTCCAATCCCACAGACTTCTACGTTTCTATTTAAAAAAAGCAAAAAGCCACTCAGTACAAAATATGTAAACGCTAAAACAATTTTATTGTGGTTTAGTGAGCAAGTGTTTGCAAACAAATTCTCATTTCTCTCTCATTCCTACTGTCTCTCCTCATCTGAAACACAGAAACAAGAGTTTCCATTATTCAGCCAACTTCCAATGCTCTAGGCTGTCTGAACTAATCGCGCCTGAATGAGGATGCCTAGTTACCACGTAATGAATAATTAATAAAAAGAGGCTGGTTGAAACCATCCGTGAGAATCTAATCTGCATATCTTAAGAGTTTCTTTAAATATTTAGTAAAAACTGTCACGTTGCAGGCTATGAAAAAGTCTCAAATAAATCAGGCATAAGATTATCTTTGGAAGATACTGGATTGAGGGCAGGATGCATATTTTGTTGCAAGCCCTATACATAACTCTAAATGCTTATGGTTTGAAGGGGGGGTGTTGGTTGTTGGTCTGTTTGTTTTTTTTTAATCAAGGCACACAAGTTGTTGGCATAACTACCACAGACTGGCTCATGCTAGAGAAATGCCTGACCAAAATATTCCACTGATCACGTGTTTTTAACTAACTACTTGTTTTGCATATGTGGGTGGGTTTAAGTAGTTTAAAGGGAATCATATTAACAGGTTACATTTTAAAAGAAATTCTAAGTTTTAAATAAACTTAGGGTAAACACACAAATTACAGAAATGACACAGAACAAAAAGCCAAGACACAGCAACAGTGTAGTCTAGTCCCCGATAAGGTTAATATTGCTACCAGTAGCAGAGGCAAGATTTTAAATTTTGTTGTGGATGTTAAAAATCATGCCTTGATCTAAAACACTGCTTTAAAAATATAGCTGGCTTCCCCAGCTACAGTTTTTCATCAAGACCAGTGTCAATGAGCTCATAGTACTGTTCCACCAAGGCAGCTGATGAAATGTTCCCAGTAACCTTGCACTAAGTAAACAG